ACCATTCATCCAACTAGAAAAGATGAGAAATATATACAACAGTATGTTAAAAGTGTGGTGGGATTAAGAGTGATTTTGATGTTCTTCATTGTGCTTTTCTGTATAATAACCATGTGTTTCTTCTGTAATCAGGAAACAATTATTTTTAAAGGAGAATGCTTCATTTTGTCATTAAAGTCAGGCTATTTTCTACATAACAAAAATATTATTTCAGGTTATACTCAAAGACTATAAAGAGCAAAATTAAAGCACCTGGACACTTGAGATCCCCGAAAACAAACACTCAAAACAATGCACAACAGCAGACTAAGCCACACCCAGGATGGCAGCAGCTTTCTGTCAGTTTATCCCCTCTGCCCTACCTGTGATGGTGTTGACAACCGTTCGAAGGATAGTGGGAGGCTTTATCAGTTCTTTGAGGATGTTCGACTCGGTAGCCAATGGAAACCCGTTGTCAAGCATCTCTTCTAATACCTCATAAACCACAACCACATTGTCTTTGATCACTGGCTCTGAACACACTCCAAAATAATCCTGATGAAGATATAACATACACATTTATCACTCACCGACGGTAAAAAAATAAAAGGATGTTCCTAGAGGGGGCGCCCATAGTTTTCTTAGGCAGCCTGGTTTGGTAGAGAACACAGGACTAGCTTATGGTACTAACGCCATTACTAGCTTCTTCTATAAACTAGAGGAAGTCAGTTAATTTCTTTGGGTTAATTTCCTGAACTTGATAAAATACATAGAATAGAAACTTGTATCTTTATTATACATGCTTATGAATAAGAGTTTGAAAGAATTATGCAAAATAACACTATGATATGGCATAGAGTTGTACATGAAAATCTTAACCCCTACTGTCATGCTATTGCTTGCTTCCTTGCTTCCTTCTTTCCTTCCTTCCATAGAGATGAGGTCTCACTATGTTGCCCAGGCTGGTCTCAAACTGCTGGACTCAAATGATCCCCTCACCTCAGTCTCCCAAAGTGCTGGGATTACAGGTGAGTCACTGGGTCTGGCCAATTGTGCCATTTCTCAACATTCATGCAGTGAATGAGGGGAAAAAAATGAAATGAGGGGGATAAAGCAGCATACCCCAAAATCTCTTTCGACCATCCCTAAGACGCTAGGATTCTAAGAACTCTTTGTCCTTTTATTAAAATGCTAAACTTAGATACTAAATTACCTGGATTGTGAAAAAAGTACTGGATTTCAAACCAGAAGACCTGGATTATAATTTTACTTGTCACCTGCTAGATAATTCACGTTAACTAACTTGGGTCTTGATTTCTTTAATGGTATACTCAGGACAATGGCACTGGAGGCACAGGGACGTGAGAACTAAGCATGGCTGACAAGATGACAGTGTGTGTGAAAGTACTTTGCAAGCACTGTGTAAAATGGAATGCCTGATGATGATTTAAAAAGAAATGTTTGTGGTCATTCAATGTTCCCTTCTAGCACTGGCAGTCACATCGTTTATAGGACCTCTAAGAAGGCCATACTACCCTCTCGAACTTCTCCAATGAAGGGAAATTCACCCCTTTGGAGAAAGCCCATTCTACTCATGAACAGCTCTGATTATTACAAAGTTCTTTCTTTTGCTAAGCTGAAATTTGCCTCCTAGCTCTGCCTTACAGAACGAGTTTAAATAACGGCCCTGTCATTATCTGAAGACAACTACAAGCTTTCACTTCAAGTTTTTTTCTTCTCAGGGCCAAACTCCCAAGATCCTTCCACTGTTCACACTACAGTGCAGTTTCCAGATCATGACACCTTCTTTCGATTTCCCTGACATCCAAACTGGAATGGACTCTACTGGATGTGATCTAAATTGCATCAGATAACGTCAATTCTCAGTGAGATTCCAATACCCAAGTCACTGAAGACTTGGGTATTGAAATAAAAGATTGCCTCCTAAAAAATGAGGATTTGAGGGAAAAAAAGTCACACATTTCCTTTCTGGGAGTGATTTTATTTTAAAAAATAAAAAAATAGGCCAGGCACAGTGGCTCACACCTATAATCCTAGCACTCTGAGAGACCGAGGCGGGAGGATAGCTTGAGGTCAGGAGTTTGAGACCAGCAAGAGTGAGACTCTGTCTCTACTAAAAAATAGAAAAAAAAATTAGCCGGGCGACTAAAAATAGAAAAAATTAGCCGGGCATGGTGGCGCGTGCCTGTAGTCCCAGCTACTCGGGAGGCTGAGGCAGGAGGATCGCTTGAGCCCAGGAGTTTGAGGTTGCTGTGAGCTAGGCTGACGCCACGGCACTCTAGCCCGGGCAACAGAGCAAGACTCTGTCTCAAAACAAACAAACGAAAAAATAAACAAAACACCCCATTAGGTTTTGTAAACCAGGCATAATGTGAAAGGAGCAGTCGGGAAGGAGACTTGCAATCTGACAAAGAGCCACAGCGAAAGCCTCTGCAATGCTATAGCTGGACCTCTTCCAGCATAGTCCAGTGTGGGGGAGAAAATGCTGCCAGACAGGACACACATCAAATTAAACATTAAATTCAGGATATGGCCTTTACTTTTAACAACTGTTTCAAAAATGGCAAGCTCTGAAGTCCCATACTTCCAAATTAGCAACTACAGTCTGCTTTCCCAAATTGCTCTGTGGTTTCAACTACTTTGAACAACTTTTCTTACTTCCTGTCTCACAGTAAGTTATGTAATATTGGTTTGGCTATACAAAGTAGCTGTGGAGTTTCACCAATGGGACTGTTAATCTCAGAATAGTAAAGTATCACATGCAGAAATACTACAAGATCCAGTTAAAGTGGTTTAAGATCATAACTACTGGGTTCTTCTACTTCTAGTTCTTCCGTGTACTGGGACTTATAATGCTCGGGTCTTCACTGTGCAGAGGAGCTAGTAAGCCCCATGAGAACTGAAATGCCAGGCAGTACTATCAGAGAGTATTTGTGGGGGAAAGCTTATATAACATATTTTAATTCTCTTCAGAATGAAAGCTGCTCTAAACATGTGATGTAGACATGAGTGCAAATGAAAGGACTCTTTAACTTGCTTTTTAATTTTTATCATAAGTCTGGGTCCTCATTCTCTTCTCCAGTTCCACAATTCATGTGACTAATTCCAGACTTCACATGACACAGAAGTTAAACCAAACTAGGGCCCTTCTAGCAAAGGGCTCTTGCTTCTCATTTATCATTTGAGTTATGCAAATAACCACAAGAGTTAGAAGTTGAGTGATTCTGTTCGGGAGAGGATTCCATTGTTTAAATCCAGAGTTTGGGCAGTCTAAGATCCTGTGTTACAAATGATGTTCATATCCTTGTATAACTTACATCTCCCATACCCCACCCCCCTAAGATCTTTGAATCTATTTCCAAAAAACAAAAACAAAAAACCCTCAAAATGAAAACTGTACCTTGTAAAATGTGTCACTTAAATTCTTATGGGTATAGGAGATTTCCCAATCTTATGTTTGCAGTGAGAGCTCATCGTTAGCACTCATATGCTATGGAAAACCACCCCAAACTCAAGAGGAAGTATAGCTTCATGAATTGTCCCTGCCAGGGACAATGAAAGTAAGCATTACTTAGCTTTTTCTACTTCTTTTATAAAACATTACACACATCATTTTTTGATGCAACTCAAAGCAATGTAGCTAACAATGGCTAGCATTGAGTCCACTATACAAAAACAATCTAAACCCCTCTAATTTATGAGCAAAAAGTAGGACCAGAACTAAAAAGACTATACAAGTTGTACTGAGTATGATAGTTTTCCCATGCAAGAGGTTCAAAAGTATTCAATTTGTCATTTTGGATGCGGCCAATTCAATAAATACATACAGGAATCTTACGGTCAAATGGGAGAAGTAGTGAGCAATATCAGATTTTTTAAAAAAGTTTCTTAACTGAGGCTGAATACAACAGAAACGGGACTATAAAGACAGCTTATAGTTTACATATATGAACCTTCCCACATTCACAAACCTGAAATGTGTCCACTACTCGGTGAAGAAACTCAATGACAAACAGAGGTGGGACTTCCGTCTGGATCACAGCCACGAAAAAGATCTTGTGGCGGTAAACGCTTAGGAGGTAATGGTGAGGGGTAGGGATGACTGGAGGCACATTTTCTGCCTCAGTAGCTCTCTCTTGCGCCTCAAAAAAGTAATCACAAACAGAACGGCTGACCACACTTTTCCAATGTTTCTCCAGGAAAATATCTCCAGAGGAGTTGATCAAGAAAAGACTATGAATCATGGTGGAGACTGTCAGTGAGAGAGGAAAGCCTTTTCACTCTGAATGCCTCAGGACTCTGCAAGTTGCCAACTCTAAAAACAAAAGAAGCCATATTCAGTTCCATTCCACCCAAACACCCTCCCCATCTTTTCTAGCAGCCCAAGACTTACCCATCTTTCAAGACCAGGCCCAAGTCTTCCTCTACTGGATGAGCCTGAAGTATCCCTCCCTTGAATTCCTAAGGATAATCATCAGCCGTCTCATCTGTCAGTCAATCATTATATTCCCCGTTACCTTTACCACTGCTTTACTATTATACCCACTTAAAATACTACTTAGCCTTCGGATGTCTATATTCCCAACTGAACTGTAAGCTCCTTGAAGAAAAGGACTATGCCTCCTGTTTTTTGTTGCTTCGTTGCACAGCACCTCCTTGCATACAGGAGGGCTTAAAGAATACTGAAGTTGATGTCATGTTTCGGCCACAGCTCACACATATACTAGAAATGTGTAGCTTAATACCGTGCCCCTAGCCAAATGGGGTCAGCTAGCACTTGAAACGTGGCCGGTGAAAGTGAGATGTGCTAAGTGCACGATATATGACAGATTTGGAAGACTGTATATGAAATAAATAAAATTTCAAATATCTTACCAATATCTTAATATTGATTATATGTTATAATAATATTTTGGATATATTAGGTTAAATCAAATAACATCAAAATTAACTTAACCTGATTTATTATTTTAATGTGGTTATCAGAAAATTATGTACGTGGTTCACTTTCTGCTTCCGTTGGACAGAGCTGGTCCATGCAATGGGAAGGACGCCCTTGTAGTCCTTATTCACCTGGTCAGACCCTAGTCTCTGAGCGCTTGTTATGCACAAGGCCTGTCGGTGGGTGTCTTTAAGCAAAAATCCCTCTGGGCGACACCCCAGGTCCCTTGGGCGGCGGCGTCTCTACGGTGCCAGGTGAGGCAACGCGAACTGGCCCAGGTGGTCCAACCGCAAAGGCCTGTGGCATCGAGCGCGCGCGGGCGAGCGTAATGCCCCGCAGGAGCAGAGTGGCAGGGAGGGTGGCTGGGACGTGCGGGAGGACAAGCCCGCGACGACGGAGGCTGACCAGGGGCGGGTGGGCACCGGCGGGTGTGGGGCGCGCACGTCTGGGGCGCGGGGGTGGAAGGCGCAGGGGCGCCGGCCCGGTCCGATCGCGCCCACGCGTTGCCACGGCAACAGCGTCTCCTCCTCGCTCCGCAGACTCCCTCCTCAGATCACCTCCCGGAGCCCCACACTCGGCCCCTCATCTCTCCCTGCTGCATCCCGCAGCTCCCAGGGTCGGTCTGGCGGCATCCCGCGCCCGGCGCCGCGCGACCCCGCCCCGGGTCTCGCGATCCCTCCACCCCAACCCCGCTCCGGGCCTCGCGCCCCGCCTTCTCCAACCCCGCCGCGGGCCGGGGTCGCCAGCCACCTCACCCGGTCTCGCTCCGCGCAGCGCCCACCACTCTGCCGCGCGCACAGGCCCCGCCCGCCTGCCCCCGCGCGCTCCAGCCCCCGCGCGCCCGCTGATTGGCCGGCGCTGGGGCCTCGCGCCCGCGCCGTCCGCGACTCGGGCTTGAAGGCCGCTGATTGGCCGTCGGGGAGCCGCTCCTGCCCTCGGATTGATCGCTGTTGTCGGCTCTGTTGTCGGGCTTGAGCCCCCAATTGGCCCTGTTGAGACTCGGTAATCTCTGATTGGTCAACCGCTGCGGCCTCGAGCCCTGATTGGAGGCCGAGGACGGTCTGCGGACCGCTCTGGCCCCAGCGGTCCAGTGACAACGGGCTGCAGTGGCAGAATGCGCTGGGCGTGCGGTGTGTGTGGGCGGCGGGGATTTCCCGAACGGCACATCGCGGACAGTAAGTCCGGAGGGTAATAACTGCCCCATTAGATAAGTGCACTTGAGAAGGGACGCGCCTGTTCGTGTGCGCGCTGGGCCCGGGGACTCGAACCGGCCCGCGGTGCCGCCCATGCTTCCTCTTTCGGAATCTCAGTCCCCAGGCCTGAAAACGAAGGGCTGGGCCAGGTCTCCCTCCAGATTGCTGTGGGGCGCTCGCGACTCTGACACTGTTTTGGGTTTGTGTGGTTCAATGCTCCGATCCAGTAAAACGTGGAGTAGAAGTCGGAAGACAAGGAAGGTTTGCCTCAGTCAGATCGGCCAGGGTAGGGTCAGGTTAAACGAGGCGAGGTGTGGGAAGGGTTTGCCCGGTGCCTGGCATACTGCAAGTGCTGGGTAAAATGGTAAGCTGCGGTGGCGCAGGGAATACTATGAAATGCGGCGTGGGTGGCAGCTCCTGCACGCACAAGAGCTTTGCTGAAGGTGGTGTGGGTTGTTCTTGGCACACTTGCTAAGGGCAGGTATTCCACCAATTTTGAACTAAGTAGAGGGGAAAACCCAAAAGCAAAATGGCTGAACGACTAGCGCGGTATACCTTCCAGGCTCCTGGAGCGAGTGCCTGGGTCTGAACCTGCTCTCCAGCACTCACCACCTGTGTGACCTTGAGAAGGTACTTAATTTCTCGAAACTTCAGATTCCACACTTCTCAAGAAAGGAGACTCACAGTACCTAATTCGTAGAGTTGTGAGGACGGCCTAAGAAAAGTGTTAGCAATTGTTGCTATCTGAGAAACCTCACAAGCTACAATTACACATGGTTACTAAGTCATGTCTGTCTCAGGTGCAGAGGTGCAATCACTGCTGTGGGCATTGCTCCTCCATTCACTGAATTAACATTAAGTGAAAGCTTCCCGTGTGTCAAGCCCTGTGCTGGCTGCTGCAGGTGTTGCGATGACAGGCATACTCCCTGTGGCCACCAAGGCTAGCGGGAAAGACAAATGAGAAGTGATTGCAATACAGTGTAATGAACAAGGAGCCCGTGGGGGTGGGAGGCGTGCTGGTGAGGGGGCTGCTGAAACCTGGAAGTGAGTATGGATTCCTCAAATGAAGGAATAGAAGGACAGAGGAAAGAGTCTGTTTGGAAAGCTCTAGAAATGAGAGAGTTACATATAGCTGAGCCAGAACAGGAGAAAGAGTGTAGGAAGATGAGCTTAGGAAGGTAGGTAGGAGCCAGATGGTTGTGAGCCTTGTACTAGTTGTTAATATTTGTAAACACTGTGTGCCATGCACTCTCCATTCGTTCCATAAATACGTAGTGAGCACTACTGTGTACCAGGTGCTGTTCCAGGGCTTGGATACACGACACTAGTAAACAGAATGCAAAACTCCCTGCCCTAGTGGAGCTTATGTGCTAGTGGGGAAAGAGAAAAATAACCAATAAACATAAGTGAAATATTATAGTATGTTAGAAGGTGGTAAGTGCAATGAAAAAACAAAAGAGAGATCAGGAGTGCCATGGGATTGGAGGGAGAGTTATAATTTTTCAGAAGGTAGTGAGAGTGAACCTCATTGAGAAAAGACATAAGAGCAAAGACTTGAAGAAAGTGAAGGAGTTAGCTATAGAGATGTCTGGAGGGAGAGCATTCCAGGAAAGGGAATAGGCATCACAAAGCCTTAAGGTCAGCACATGCCTGGTGAGTCCCAGGAGCAGAAAGGATGACAGTGTGGCTGGAGCAGAACGAGCAAAAGATACGCTAGGAGTTGAGGTTATAGTGTGGGGGGCTGATTACCGAGTCTTGAAAGAGATTTTAAAGATTTTGGCTTGTGGTTGTGAAAGGGAGAGCCGATGGAGGGTTTGAACAAAAGAGTGGCAGGATGTGATTCATCGGTCTACCAGGTTGAGAAGAGATGGTGGCGTAGAAGGAGACCAGTCCGGAGACCGCTGCAGTAGCCTAGGTAAGAGGTTTCAGTGCTTGGACCCAGCTGTAGCCGAAGGCTGTGAGGAGTGTCAGATTGTGTGCAGAGGAGGAACCTGCAGGAATCCCAGGTGGATGGGATGTGGGAGTGAGAACGAGAGAGAAGTGGCGGGCTGAACCGGAGCTTCTGGAAGGACAGTTCCGTCATCTGTAGCTAGGAAGACGATGGGTGGAGCAGTATGAGGGGGAACATCGGGAGCTCAGTTTTGGATGTGTTCAGTGTGTCTTTTGGCTCCATTACCTATGCAAGTGGGGCGCTGAGAAGGCAGTGGATGCCTGAGTCCAGGGTTCAGGAGAGAAGTCTGAGCTGGAGGTGAAAATTTGGGTGTTTCCCATTTACGGTTATTTAAAGCCATGGAACCCATCCAGATGGCTGAGGGAGTAAGCGTGGAGAGAGGAGACGAGCAGAGTCCAGGGATGCTCCAAATTTACGAGTCCATGGACGAGAGGAAGATCCGGAATCATTTAATCCTCCCAACCACTCTAAGATGAATTAGTTATGATCCCCTTTTTATAGATGAGAAAACTGTAAGGACTGCTTAAGTGACATGTCCAGGGTCAAACAGCAGAGCTGCGATTCAAGGACGCAGGCAGATCTAAGCAGTCTGGCTCAGAATCCACCCCTCCTACCTCTCTTGTCAGCCCTGGAGCCCATCGAAGAAGTGGGAAGAAGAGAGTGACATGCTTTCAGATTTCCATTTCAGAAAGACCATGGCTGGATCGGAGCAGGCCAAGCTTGGGGACTGAAAGGTCATTTAGACCCATAGGAGAGATGCCAGCGACTGCAACCAGGAGTGGGGATGGGAGAGGTGGACAGATTCCAGAGGTATTCTACTGGCAGTACAACGATAGGGGTTGGGGATTAACTGAATGCGAGTGGGGGGTGCAGTGAGGAATCAAGGATGCCTTTTGGATTTGGGCAACAGTTTGGATGGAAGTATCATTTGTCAAGATGCGAATCCCCGAAAGAGAGGTACCTGGAAAGTGCGTGATTCTAGTCACAGCAATGCGCGGAGTCACATACACAGTTGATTCTCAGCTATTTCTTGAACTGAATCAGCGTAGAATGTGGGAGCTTGTGTAGTACAGTCCCATGATTTTAAGAGAGGCCACAGGAAATCACTGACAAATGATAAGTCTATTTTATGCACAAAAATCTCTAGGGAAAGATTGTCTAAAGCTGCCACTGACAAACCACTGTAGTGTTCAACAGCTCTCACTGAGAAATTTTTCTACCCTAAAAAATCAATCCCAGCTATCAGGGTTCACTGGGAATGCTTTATATGTTTATTTGTTTGTTTGTTTATATTTTTTACTTTTGTTCCAAGACAAGAGAGGCCTTGCCCACTGAGAAAGACATTTCTGGGGGGCTCTGCAGTGG